TTGAAGTTATTGTTGATGGTTGTTGTAATAAAATGTGATTTGGCCAGACTACGTGATGCGCCGCGGTTTTGTTGATTTACTCGCGATTTATAAAAAAATCTTTATGTAAGTTATCCCTGTAACCCCTGTAGTAAGTGATGTATTGAGTTAAAGTTACTGTTGATGGTTGTTGTTATAATATGTGATTTGGCCACACTACGTGATGCGCCCGCGGTTTTGTTGATATACTCGCGATTTATAAAAAAAAATCTTTATGTAAGTTATCCCTGTACCCCCTGTAGTAAGTGATGTGTTGAGTTGAAGTTATTGTTGATGGTTGTTGTAATAAAATGTGATTTGGCCAGACTACGTGATGCGCCCGCGGTTTTGTTGATATACTCGCGATTTATAAAAAAATCTTTATGTAAGTTATCCCTGTACCCCCTGTAGTAAGTGATGTGTTGAGTTGAAGTTATTGTTGATGGTTGTTGTTATAAAATGTGATTTGGCCAGACTACGTGATGCGCCCGCGGTTTTGTTGATATACTCGCGATTTATAAAAATCTTTATGTAAGTTATCCCTGTACCCCCTGTAGTAAGTAATGTGTAGAGTTGAAGTTATTGTTGATGGTTGTTGTAATAAAATGTGATTTGGCCAGACTACGTGATGCGCCCGCGGTTTTGTTGATATACTCGCGATTTATAAAAAATCTTTATGTAAGTTGTCCCTGTACCCCCTGTAGTAAGTGATGTGTTGAGTTGAAGTTATTGTTGATGGTTGTTGTAATAAAATGTGATTTGGCCAGACTACGTGATGCGCCCGCGGTTTTGTTGATATACTCGCGATTTATAAAAAAATCTTTATGTAAGTTATCCCTGTACCCCCTGTAGTAAGTGATGTGTTGAGTTGAAGTTATTGTTGATGGTTGTTGTAATAAAATGTGATTTGGCCAGACTACGTGATGCGCCGCGGTTTGTTGATATACTCGCGATTTATAAAAAAATCTTTATGTAAGTTATCCCTGTAACCCCTGTAGTAAGTGATGTTTTGAGTTGAAGTTATTGTTGATGGTTGTTGTTATAAAATGTGATTTGGCCAGACTACGTGATGCGCCCGCGGTTTTGTTGATATACTCGCGATTTATAAAAAAATCTTTATGTAAGTTATCCTGTACCCCCTGTAGTAAGTGATGTGTTGAGTTGAAGTTATTGTTGATGGTTGTTGTTATAAAATGTGATTGGCCAGACTACGTGATGCGCCCGCGGTTTTGTTGATATACTCGCGATTTATAAAAAAAATCTTTATGTAAGTTATCCCTGTACCCCCTGTAGTAAGTGATGTGCTGAGTTGAAGTTATTGTTGATGGTTGTTATCATAAAATGTGATTCTGGCCAGACTACGTGATGTGCCCGCGGTTTTTTATATACTCGTGATTTATAAGAAATCTTTATGTATGTTATCACTGTAGTTAGTAATGTGTAGAGTTGAAGTTATTGTTGATGGTTGTTGTTATAAAATGTGATTCTGGCCAGGCTACGTGATGCGCCCGCGTTTGTTTTTTATATGCTCACGATTTATAAAAGATCTTTATGTATGTTATCCCTTTAGTTAGAAATGTGTTGAGTAGAAGTTCTTGTTGTAAAATGTGATTCTGGCCAGGCTACGTGATGCGCCCGCGGTTTTTTGATATACTCACGATTTATAAAAAATCTTTATATATGTTATTCAAGTACTTAGTTATGTGTTGAGTTGAAGTTATTGTTAATGCTTGTTATAAAATGTGAATCTGGCCAGGCTACGTGATGCGCCCGCGTTTTTTTTATATACTCGCGATTTATAAAAAAATCTTTATGTACGTTATCCCTGTACCCCCTGTAGTTAGTAATGTGTTGAGTAGAAGTTATTGTTGATGGTTGTTGTTATAAAATGTGATTCTGGCCAGGCTACGTGATGCGCCCGCGGTTTTTTGATATACTCATACTCGAGTATTGTATTTGATATGTATTTGTATCTTTTTCACCAATAAAATAATCATATGTTTTTTTTTTAATTTTTGTTTTATGCTTCCTATCTCCTTTAGACCTCTTGCTTCATGTTTAACCTACCCTTTTTATGCTATGACGTGTGTATTTAGAATTTGTGTACTATGATTATGTTTGATATGTTTAATTATGTAAATAATAAATTAGATTTTGAAATGCCTGTATTTGTTTGCTCTAATACCTATATTTTTGTTTTACAGATCTACTTGCCAGGTTCTTTAACTGTTTGTTTTTCCCCTATTCTAATGTTTTGTGTTTTTTTTTTGTGTTTTTGGAAACCCCCTGGAAAGAAGATGTTGGTGTTCTAGTTCTACATTGTGGCGGAGACGTGATGATGTGGATAGCTGCATGTGCATTATTGGTTGGAAACTGGCATGATGGAGCAATTAGGTATTTAACAATATTATTCTTTAAGGATTTTTTTGTATGCATAGTATCATCTATTTAAGAGATAAAAAAATTCAGCTAGTTCAACAAACAGTTGATAGGAATTGTCTATTGGAGATAGTCTTTTAGCTAGCTAGACTGGAAGGTAAGTGGTTCTACTAGGCATGAACTTGCCCTACCCTGAAACTCATTTGACGGCCTTTATCTGCCATATAATAAAGAATGGGCATTCATATAATATAAAAACAAATGAAACATTAATAATTACCTGCTTACTTGAAAAGTAATTTGTAAAGACATGATAAATATTAACATTATAAGATTAGAATGTTATTTTGTAAACCCTGGTGATATTTCAGACCATAGAGGAGTAATGAAGCGGAAGTGGATAAGACTATCAGTTCTTCGAGAGTCCCAGTGCCTATATACTCGCAAGAAGGATATGGTATGGAATAGCTTAGTACATTTATGTGCTGGCAGATTTGTACAACAATAAGTTGTTCCAGTGTGAAGAAAGATACGTGTCATAAGGTAAACCTTGTTCTTTGATGCTATATAGTAAATCATAATAAAGATAATGAATCATAATAAAATCAAAATACAAGTTTGGTTGAAATCCTGTGCAATTTGAGCCAAATGAATATAGAGGTGAGTATCTTGTCGGCCATTTAGGAGATAAGGATTCCATTCCCTGTCTACGTTTACTTACAAAATACAATTTTATTATATTACTTATGAATAAAGTATACAGTTGATAGGAATTGTCTATTGGAGATAGTCTTTTAGCTAGCTAGACTGGAAGGTAAGTGGTTCTACTAGGCATGAACTTGCCCTAACCTGAAACTCATTTGACGGCCTTTATCTGCCATATAATAAAGAATGGGCCTTCATATAATATAAAACCAATGAAACATTGATAATTACCTGCTTACTTGAAAAGTAATTTGTAAAGACATGATAAATATTAACATTATAAGATTAGAATGTTATTTTGTAAACCCTGGTGATATTTCAGACCATAGAGGAGTGATGAAGCGGAAGTGGATAAGACTATCAGTTCTTCGAGAGTCCCAGTGCCTATATACTCGCAAGAAGGATATGGTATGGAATAGCTTAGAACATTTATGTGCTGGCAGATTTGTACAACAATAAGTTGTTCCAGTGTGAAGAAAGATGCGTGTCATAAGGTAAACCTTGTTCTTTGATGCTATAGTAAATCATAATAAAGATAATGAATCATAATAAAATCAAAATACAAGTTTGGTTGTAATCCTGTGCAATTTGAGCCAAATGAATATAGAGTTGAGTATCCTGTCGGCAATTTTGGAGACTAGGGTTCCATTCCCTGTCTATGTTTACTTACAAAATACAATTGTATTATATTACTTATGAATAAAGTATACATTTGATAGGCATTGTCAGTTGTAGTTGTCTAACAGGGTTGGTGGGCCTGTAACTTTTTGTGTTGCCTCTACAGAGTAGTGGTGACATAATGGGATCACTTCTCCGTGGTTTGTCTGTCCGTGCAAAACAAATGGGTGACTAGGAAAAGAATAGGTATTGGTACATTTTCTTCGATTCTTTTTATTCTGTTTTACTTGTGTGTCTTCTTTTTAGCCTTATGTGACTAAAAGATCAAAGGAAAGTCACGTAAGAACTTCCGTCTGTCTGTCCGGACTACTCAAAAACTACTAGTGCAATTTCATCTAAACTTTACAAGTCTAGTTGTGCATCTCGTAAACATTTTTGGGTTCAATCATATTTGTCAGAGAAATGGCCCTTCAATGATTTTAATTTTTAGCTCGACTATACGAAGTATATAGAGAGCTGTCCTACTCGCCCCGGAGTCCCCTTCCAGATTTCAGATTAAAGTTTTGGTGCAGTAAAATATTTTTTACTCGATGAAACTCATGGTTATTTTTTTTTTTTGCTTGTTAGGTGGTATCTCCCTAACTATTGAAGGGAATGGAATGAAACTTAACATACATTTTCAATCACTGTGATTTTTTAACATGATTGGCACAGGTCCCATTACTCTGATTTACTTATTTACATATTTATGCCCCTTTTATACTCATTGAAACATCCTTGTGACAACTATATCGAAAAGTCGAGCATTGATGTCCTCCGATAGCTCTTGTTGAACTTGGAATTTATTTGAAAATTGTTATATTTTTATATACATGTACTTGTATTATTTTTTTGTATTATAAATGATGTCTACTCTAGACTTAGGATAATTTTCCTTTGTCAATACTCACATCATGCATGACAAGTTCCATTACTATAGCATCTTTATTTCAAGAGTTATAAACAAAGTAATCTCATAAAAAAAAACATTAACCATCTTAAAATAATGCTGACGATCAACCTTGATCAATGCTATGTTTTGACAGCTGTGTAATGCCAGATAAACAATTTACCACCAAGTCAACTAATCAAATTTGCATAAATTCCATTGCACAATATTTTTGGAAAAATCTGTATAGTACGCCGCCGACCTCTAAATAACTTTCACATGAAATTAAATATTTTTTTCAGAAAATGGATTGTTGTTTAACAGTGGTGAAGTGTTTGTTGATCGAGACTATCATTTCTTCGAGAGACCCAGTGCCTATATACTCACGAGAAGGATATGGTATGGAATAGCTTGGTACATTTCCGTGCTGGTATATTTGTACATTTGGAAGTTGTTTCAGTGTGGAGAGAGATGGACACGGTCAGTATGCAATTTGATAGGAATGATCTATTTTACCTAGTCTATAACTAGATAGACTAGAATATCTGTGGTTCTACCCTTTTACCGTTTTACCTGCCCTTGTCTGTCCATTGTGGGGCATATTTTTTCTGCCAATAAAGGTGGAGAGTCGTCAAATGACTTAGGAAACAACAAAACAAATGTGATTTGTTTAGTTAAAAAGACTTTGTTCAACATATGGTATATGTTGAGAAATGAGATTGGAATGTTGTTTTGTTAACCCCAGTGAACTTTCAGTTAATCTTAAGACCAAGGAGGCAAATTTGTAAGAATGACATGAAACATGGTGATGATGGATGGATGTGTGGATGGTCAAAGCCACTCAGTGACAGAGTATTGAAGTACTTGACGTGCATTGTGAAAGTTGATCGAGACTATCAATTCTTCGAGAGTCCCAGTGCTTATATACTCGCAAGAAGGATATGGTATGGAATAGCTTGGTACACCTCTTTGCTGGTAGATTTGTACGTTTGGAAGTTGTTTCAGTGTGGAGAGAGATGGACACGGTGCATTGTGCGGTAAACCTTGCTCTTTGATTTCATTGGTAAATCCCTATAAATATAATGAATTTATGATAATAATTCAGAAATTAGTATGCCCTTGTCTGTCCATTTTGGGGCATATTTTCTCTGCCAATAAAGGTGGAGAGTCGCCATATGACTTGAGAACCAACAAAACAAATATAGCTTGGTACATCTCTGTGCTGGTAGATTTGTACATTTGAAAGTTATTTCAGTGTGGAGAGAGATGGACACAGTCAGTATGCAATTTGATAGGAATGATCTACTTTAGCTAGTAGACTAGAATATCTGTGGTTCTACCCTTTTACCTTTTTACCTGCCCTTGTCTGTCCGTTTTGAGGCATATTTTTTTCTGCCAATAAAGGTGGAGAGTCGTCAAATGACTTAAGAACCAATAAACCAAATGTGATTTGTTTAGTTAAAAAGACTTTGTTCAACATATGGTATATGTTGAGAAATGAGATTGGAATGTTGTTTTGTTAACACCAGTGAACTTTCAGTTAATCTTAAGACCAAGGAGGCAAATTTGCAAGAATGACATGAAACATGGTGATGATGGATGGATGTGTGGATGGTCAAAGCCACTCAGTGACAGAGTATTGGAGTACTTGACATGCATTGTGAAAGTTGATCGAGACTATCAATTCTTCGAGAGTCCCAGTGCCTATATACTCGCAAGAAGGATATGGTATGGAATAGCTTGGTACACCTCTTTGCTGGTAGATTTGTACATTTGGAAGTTGTTTCAGTGTGGAGAGAGATGGACACGGTGTATTGTACGGTAAACCTTGCTCTTTGATTTCATTGGTAAATCCCTATAAATATAATGAATTTATGATAATAATTCAGAAATTAGTATGCCCTTGTCTGTCCATTTTGGGGCATATTTTCTCTGCCAATAAAGGTGGAGAGTCGCCATATGACTTGAGAACCAACAAAACAAATATAGCTTGGTACATCTCTGTGCTGGTAGATTTGTACATCAGTATGGAGAGAGATGGACACAGTCAGTATGCAATTTGATAGGAATGATCTATTTTAGCTAGTCTATTACTAGATAGACTAGAATATCTGTGGTTCTACCCTTTAACCTGCCCTTGTCTGTCCATTTTGGGGCATATTTTTCTGCCAATAAAGATGGAGAGTCGTCAAATGACTTAAGAACCAACAAAGCAAATGTGATTTGTTTAGTTAAAAAGACTTTGTTCAACATATGGTTTATGTTGAGAAATGAGATTGGAATGTTGTTTTGTTAACCCCAGGTAAATCTCTATAAATATAATGAATTTATGATAATAAATCAGAAATAATGCCCTTGTCTGACAATCGGCTCTCGACTTTCACTTTTTCATTCTGGACTGTTTTTTTTCTCACACATATTCATCAATATACAACACAAACATATCCCCTGGACAGCCCTGACAATCAGCTTGACTTCCACTTTTTCATTCTGGACTGTTTATTCACTCATATACACAAACATATCCCCTGGACAGCCCTGACAATCAGCTCGACTTCCATTTTTTCATTCTGGACTGTTTTTTCCACTCATATTCATCACAACACAACACAGACATACCCCCTGGACAGCCCTGACAACCAGCCTGACTTCAATTTTTTCATTCTGGACTGTTTTTTCACTCACATTCTTTAATATACAACACAAACATATCTCCTGGACAGCCCTGACAATCAGCTTGACTTCCACTTTTTCATTCTGGACTGTTTATTCACTCACATTCATTAATATACAACACAAACATATCCCCTGGACAGCCCTGACAATCAGCTTGACTTCCACTTTTTCATTCTGGACTGTTTTTTTTTTACTCAAATTCATCAAAACACAACACAAACATCTCCCCTGGACAGCCCTGACAATCAGCCTGACTTCCACTTTTTCATTCTGGACTGTTTTTTTTCACTCATATTCATCAAAACACAACACAAACATATCCCCTGGACAGCCCTGACAATCAGCTTGACTTCCACTTTTTCATTCTGGACTGTTTATTCACTCACATTCATTAATATACAACACAAACATATCTCCTGGACAGCCCTGACAATCAGCTTGACTTCCACTTTTTCATTCTGGACTGTTTTTTCACTCATATTCATCAAAACACAACACAAACATATCCCCTGGACAGCCCTGACAATCAGCTTGTTCCACTTTTTCATTCTGGACTGTTTATTCACTCACATTTATTAATATACAACACAAACATATCCCCTGGACAGCCCTGACAATCAGCCTGACTTCCACTTTTTCATTCTGGACTGTTTATTCACTCACATTCATTAATATACAACACAAACATATCCCCTGGACAGCCCTGACAATCAGCCTGACTTCCACTTTTTCATTCTGGACTGTTTTTTCACTCATATTCATCAAAACACAACACAAACATATCCCCTGGACAGCCCTGACAATCAGCTTGACTTCCACTTTTTCATTCTGGACTGTTTATTCACTCACATTCATTAATATACAACACAAACATATCTCCTGGACAGCCCTGACAATCAGCTTGACTTCCACTTTTTCATTCTGGACTGTTTTTTTTACTCATATTCATCAAAACACAACACAAACATATCCCCTGGACAGCCCTGACAATCAGCTTGACTTCCACTTTTTCATTCTGGACTGTTTATTCACTCACATTCATTAATATACAACACAAACATATCCCCTGGACAGCCCTGACAATCAGCTTGACTTCCACTTTTTCATTCTGGACTGTTTATTCACTCACATTCATTAATATACAACACAAACATATCCCCTGGACAGCCCTGACAATCAGCCTGACTTCCACTTTTTCATTCTGGACTGTTTTTTTCACTCATATTCATCAAAACACAACACAAACATATCCCCTGGACAGCCCTGACAATCAGCTTGACTTCCACTTTTTCATTCTGGACTGTTTTTTCACTCACATTCATCAAAACACAACACAAACATATCCCCTGGACAGCCCTGACAATCAGCTTGACTTCCACTTTTTCATTCTGGACTGTTTATTCACTCACATTCATTAATATACAACACAAACATATCCCCTGGACAGCCCTGACAATCAGCCTGACTTCCACTTTTTCATTCTGGACTGTTTTTTCACTCACATTTATCAAAACACAACACAAACATATCCCCTGGACAGCCCTGACAATCAGCCTGACTTCCACTTTTTCATTCTGGACTGTTTATTCACTCACATTCATTAATATACAACACAAACATATCCCCTGGACAGCCCTGACAATCAGCTTGACTTCCACTTTTTCATTCTGGACTGTTTTTTTCACTCACATTTATAAAAACACAACATTAACATATCCCCTGGACAGCCCTGACAATCAGCTTGACTTCCACTTTTTCATTCTGGACTGTTTTTTTCACTCACATTTATCATTATACAACACAAACATATCCCCTGGACAGCCCTGACTATCAGCTTGACTTCCATTTTTTCATTCTGGACTGTTTTTTTTCACTCATATTCATCAAAACACAACACAAACGTATCCCCTGGACAGGCCTGACAATCAGCCTGACTTCCACTTTTTCATTCTGGACTGTTTTTTTCACTCACATTTATCATTACACAACACAAACATATCCCCCCTGGACCGCCCTGACTATCAGCTTGACTTCCATTTTTCATTCTGGACTGGTTTTTTTCACTCATATACATCAAAACACAACACAAATATATCCCCTGGACAGCCCTGACAATCAGCTTGACATCCACTTTTTCATTTTGGACTGTTTATTCACTCACATTCGTTAATATACAGCACCATCATATCCCCTGGACAGGCCTGACAATCAGCTCAGCTTCCACTGTTTCATTCTGGACTGTTTCACACACATTTCTATTGTATAACTTATCTTTACAACTGTTCTACACTTTTGGCCCGTTCTACCATGAGGGGAAGTGCAGACCATGCAGTTTATCTGCTTAAATTCTTTTTTTCTTTTTCAGCTCAATTTTATATAGTGTTTTTATCTTTTACATCTGTTCTACACTTTTTGCCCAGGTCCATCATGAAGGGGAAGTGCAGACCATGCAGTTTATCTACTTATTTTTTTTTTCTATTTCAGCTCAATTTTATATAGTGTTTTATCTTTAACAACTGTTCTACACTTTTAGGCCAGTTCTACCGTGAAGGGGAAGTGCAGACCATGCGGTTTTTAATGTTATTTCTTTAATAAACTGTTCTGACTTTTATTTATCTTTACTCATCTATTTTACTTATTTTTACAGTGTTCTACACTTATTGACCAGACATCTACTAGTCATGACAAACCTGTACATCTAATCTTAATGGGTCAAAGTGTTCCTGAATTATTGATCTGAACACCTTTATGATGATATTTACCTTGACTTGAACTTAATCAATGATAAATCTACCAGTCATTACCAACCTGATCACCTCATTTGATGACCATAAGCCATGGCTTTCCCTAGTTGACCAATCAACTTCTTTAACTACTTGGCATGATTAACTTTAAAAGCCCAATCATTGACCAAAACTTTCTCCGGTTATTGGTCAGACATGGATATTGGATATTGAAGCTCTGATTATAGAATGGTGGGGGATGTGTAGCAAAACCAAAACGCACGACTTCATAAACTATAGACTGTACAGTGACAGACATACCATTCTTCAGAGCTTCAATCAAAGGTTAATAATTTGAAAAACTAGCTAAACACCATTTTCCGGTACTTTCTGTACATAGCTCTCGGGAATTCACCTAAATGTTGTGTAATAATGTAACAATCTGTATGTTTTAGGCCTTTTTTAGATTAAAGTGAAATAAAACAATTATTTCATTGTTAGAAAATAATTAGAATATCATTGTATTAATAATTCCATGAAATAAAATGAGATTTTCTGCTTAAACTTAAAGAAATAATATATCTCAAACAGTGATTGTATAGCTAAACAACACTGTTTGGAGTTATTTTATTATTTTATCAAGCTATAAAATCACTGATTTGGATATCTTATTTCAATTCTAACACAACATCAACAAATAAATGAGCCGCGTCACGACAAAACCAACATAATGAGTTTGCGACCAGCATGGATCCAGACCAGCCTGCGCATCCGCGCAGTCTGATCAGGATCCATGCTGTTTGCTATCAGTTTGTCTACTTGTTATAGGGTTTGTAAGCGAACAGTATGGATCCTTATCAGACTGCGCGGATGCGCAGGCTGGTCTGGATCCATGCTGGTTGCAAACCCACTATGTTGTTTTTGTCATGACGCGGCTCAAATGTGTAAAATATACGATAGATAGTAACCACCTGAAACTCTAAAATAATTATAAAAAATAGATATATCTCATAATAATGGTGTTTATTATATACTGATAAATGAAATATGAAATAAAATTTGTATTTTCATTTTCCGTATTTTTCACTGTAAAAGATATATTTTTCACTGCAATTAACATATTTTACATATTTTTACTTGTGTCTTGCCGGATTACTTTCTTCTAAATTCAGCCAATGAACAAAATTTAAGAAGTAATCTTTCAAATTTTAATATAAAACAATGTATATAATAAACAGAAAATTCAAGTCTTTTTCTATAATACAGGATTTATTTTCATCTTGTGTAATGAAAATTATCATATTTCACTCGTGGCGGTAGCCACTCATGAAATATTTGTTTTCATACCACTCAATGAAATAAATTGTGTATTTATAAAAAAAATTGAATATCCTCTATATACTTCATAAGGTGTATAATACTTCATTAGGTGTAATCCCCCAGAGCTAAATCTGTAACTACAGGAAAACAGTATGTATCAAAAAGGTCAATCGCTACACTTCTCCCAATGCTGCCTAGTTTTAAAACAGCACTTTTCCAGATAAATGAAAATAATTATATGTTCCATCATTAAGTTAAATATTTAGATTTGAAGTTCAGAAAACTACAAAAATTTACTATTAAGCCATAAGTAAGAGTTATATTTATTTCCTTTTATGTATTAAAATATTTGTAACAGTGGGTCAATATTATTCCTTTAATAAGTGGTTAGAATTAATATAACAATATTTTTAAATTTTGTAATAAGCTAATTTTGAATTGAATCAAAGAAATATGCATATCTGTTTTTTTTTTACTTTTCCTAAATTTTGATTGATTTTTGAAGAAAGTAAAATATCTGGATGTGTGCAATTTTAACTTCTAGCATGTCCCAAGCCATGGTAAAAGCAGAGGGGGAGAAATGAATTTTGTATTTGTATTATCAATGTTATTATAATATCACTAAACATTTTTACATTTTTGATTGCATTGTTCACCATTTCCTTGATGTCTGAAGTGATAGAGAATAATTAATAGGTTGGTGCCTTGGATCTGGCGAGGCGGAGGAATTTATTGGGTGAGCCTTTGGTCAGATAGTTCTCCATCCATAGGACCAATCATTCTATTTATCCTGTTATCGATTTTTTCTGTTATCGACTAGTTCTTATCATTCTGATATATTTTACAAGCAAAATTGTCAAACCAGTCTTTTTAGTGATTTTAAGTCATTTTTACTTGTTTTGCCGCATAACGTCATGCGTTCTTTTTCAAGACGTCATCATATGACGTCACAGTACCAATGTTGAAATTTAGTTCCGTAATTTTTTTTCGAATTTGTTACATTTTCACACAATGTATGCAGTCATTTACTTGCTTCTCCTATAGAAGCAAAATTTACGTACATGACAGAATTTATTCCTGTTGATAATTCAATTTAGTGTTGTTTTTTTATTAATCAGAACAGCTCATGCCTTATTTTGGTAAAATAAAAACCATAAGGAATAGAAAATTGACAATATTTTACAAAATCTTTTAGAAATGTGTAATCATATGAAAAAGAAACATTTTAAGTGTGTGTGTGTTTTTTTTTTTTTTTTTTTTTTTTTTTAATTCTTTTGTACTAAATAGTTGAAATGATTCTGAAAAATCCTTTAAATAAGTTTTAAAAAAGAATTTTCAGGATAAAATTATGAATTTTGGCCAGTTTTTTTTTTCATTTATAATATACCTAAATTTGGCTATTTGAAAACTATATATAGATGCAAAAAAGTAGGAAGAATGTTAATCTTTTAATAACAAGTCATGGTTAGTAAGTTTTAAGCTCTTGTAGTTTAATTGTCAAAATGCCTCTTTATTGTATCACATACATAAGAGGAGTTCTGAGTTCAAATCTCAGCAAGAGTTCTTATTTGCTGATTCATGGTTTGTAAAATTAAAATAGGGCTATGAATTTTTATGTCTATATTAAAGTTTTTGTTTTTATAAGTCATTGTTTTTATTTGACAGTTATTAAAATCAAGGTTTTTTAAACCTGATTAGAACTCTGACAGTATGATTAAAAAAAACTATTCTTATTTGAGAATCTATCATAGTATATATAAAGCGACTTGACGAGTAAAATATTACATGCCACAATGTCCAAGCGTAAATAGTGTTTGACAAATGGTAAAATGTACTAATTTTTCTGTACGTTTTCTAATTTTGACATCTGCTTACTCAACTGCCGGCATATAATATGATAATATCTGCTAATCGTGAAATTCGCTCATATCTAACACCCGACCGCGGATCGGCAAACCTGTGAGGAGTACTAAATGATCAAGGAGTACTATACGAATGCTAAATGCAAGATTTCAAAATGGCCCAAAACATTTCCCATTTCGAATAAGACCAAGCTTGTCTGTCGATTTTCGTGTTGACCGTGCATTTCATACTGTGCATGTTTTTCACGTATTTGCCGTTTCTGTTAAAATGAAATTTTTGTCTTGATATTCAATCAATATTTCAAGTTTGAAATGAATATGTGTGATGGTTTTGGGGAAAATATAAAAAGGGAGAAATGCCTTTCAAGATCATCTTAATTCCTTTAGAAATGCATTTTACTTTTATATAAAATAAGTATTTTATGTTTTAAGTGAATAAGCAATAAGCCGTAACCAAAAGGTTAATCAAGGCGAAAACATAATCAAAAACATAACCAAAAAGGTTAACCAACGCCGACACGTTTAGCTTTTCATTTATGAAAAAAATCATTTCTCGGGAGTAAATAGTTAGCTGTCATTTGGTCACGGAGGCCCCTCATACCTTTTGATAGAAATGCAAATATTGTGTTAAACAATAGCTGAAAGTAATGACATATGATATACAATCATATCAAACATCAAACACATATCAGTTTCCGCCGCCTAATTCCCTTAAGTATGCAAGTCATAAGTGATTGCATTTGGAAACCCGTTGAACATTTCAAAACAAGGCAATGTCAAAACCAAAGTTAACCATTTTTTACGTCCCCGCGAGGGGTTTGACATTATCGGAAGATAGATAACAACCGCATGTACATTAATTATTAGAGCAACTGATTAATAAAATCAGCTCCTAACTAACGATACGCTACAAGTAAACATAAGATTTGAACTTTTATCATGTTGAAATTAACAGTACATTGTAGTCTATTAAATTTAAATGCATTGGCTGCGGTTGTATTAACAAACATATTAGCGAAACAAAGAAACCACAATTAAATGATATCATATTCGACATTCAAGTATAATCTTTCATAAGCATCAGCTTAATTGTTATGTCACTGGTTTACTGTATGAAAATTGTTTGGTCTTTGGGCCCCGGATCAGTGGGTTTGAGTGCTATATTTTCCTTGAATACTTAAGTTGTTCAGATGTGTGTTGAGGACCATCAGTCATTGATAAAATAGAGAAAAAAAGAACCCCTAAAGAAAGTCCAAAACGGCAAAATTGAAAATGTTGCAGGTTCCGTTTGATAAAGCCCAAATTAACACTGTCCCGGTAATGGTCACGGTATCACTACTGTGTCTTAAGCTGGTGAACCGAGGTGTTCCGTGGTGTTTTTCTGAGAAATCAAATTGCGTTTACACATCCCCGACAGAGCCCAGGTGTATTCCCGGTTCAGAACCCGATATAGCACCGGATATATACGATAAGCGCCGATGCTAACTCGGTGTATTCCCGCTTGATTCCGGTGGAAACACGACTAGACAAGGTTTCATCACGGTCCATCCCGACCATCGCCGTTTTTGCCACGGTAATGCTATTGGTGATGCCGGTACTGTGCCGGTGACGCCCTGGTAATGCACCGATGCTTCCTATTCAAGTTTATGAGAATAAAACTGACTGACCACGTTGACATCAGTCATTTGGTAAAAAGACAGCAGAGATGCCATCCGAAGGAAAGGGGATGGAAGTTAGAAAAAAAACTGTGTTTACAACACCTTCAGAGGTTGAGGTACCTGAAGCTGAAAATGCACCAGCTGAAGAATTTTTCCTTCTCTCATTTAACAAATTGTCCATGCTCGTGTTCCTTCCGTCTATCATCGTTGTATAACCGTACTTGTCTGCAATATCCGGGACATTACCGGAGCGTTGTTGCCAGTGACCTCAATGTACCCTGGCTCTACCGTAGCTCTGCCTGTTTTACCGTGGCAACATCGTGTCATCACTGGGAATTTGCCGTTTGGACATTGATTGACACGCATCCCGGTTTACTACGATTTGTCACGGTATG